GGGAGATTTTGCTGAGAACCTCTCTGCTACTGAGTTCTGCACTTCTTTCTGCCTAAATTCCTATTCAGTTGTCCCTGTTTAGTTTTAAAAAATATATATTAGTAGATAAGTATGTTTGGTCTGAGTTTACAAAATGATGAAAGCTGGCAGATAGGAAAGGCGTTTTGCTAGAGAGAAACAACTAACGGTTAGCTGAGACCTTGTGATTAACTGTCATTGCCTGGACTGCTGGGACTTGTACAGTTGTGTGTTACCAGCGCTGCTGAGTCACACTTCTAAGTATGATCTTACCTCAGTAATAGAATGGTAGAATCATTTAGGTTGGAAAAGACCTCTGAGATAAGTCCAGCCCTTAACCTAGCACTGCCAAGGCTACCACAAAACCATGTCTCCGAGCACCACATCTACACATCTTTCAAATACCTCCAGGGCTGGTGACTCAGCCACTTCCCTGGGCAGCCTGTTCCAGTGCCTCGGCTCTGTCAGTGAAGCAAGTTTTCCTAATATCCACCATGAACCTCCCCTGGCACAATTTGTAATAATACAAATATGATTTTTTTTTTGTGTAGTAAATTTCAGGCCATCAATTTATAGTAAAGCTATTTAATGTTCAGGGGTTTGTTCACAGTTCAATTTTGATACAAGGTTTTGCTGATGCTGCAGTCATCACTGGTACTTGCTGCTTTCTTCTTCCTGCACCCAGAGGCAGTAAGGGAAATGGAGGATATTCCCAGTGTGCTCTGAGATCTGTAAAAGGGATACTGAAAGCCACTTCTTATTTCTCAGTCCATACCTAACAGGTTTTATTACTAGAATGAAAAGGAGGTAGTCCGTAAGTTAAAACTGGTTATTGCTTCTGTATCTTTGTATTATTTTGTGATTCATAAGCCCATTTCTTAGGCATGAGAAAGATGCAGCATAGAGCTATACAGGGAAATGGTGCATATATTTTATATTTTTTAAGGCGCTTGCTTTCTTTTTGATTGGCTAGCTCCTCTTGTTTATAGCTTTGCTATTGCAGCCAGAGTTACATAGGAAAGTAGAGGTTGTGGCCTTATGTTCATATTATTTCCACAACAGAGGAAAAGCCATGTGAAGAAAAGCAACAATTCTGAAAATGTCAAAGACCGTAGGATCTGAATGTAATGCTTGTCATATTCTGTTGTTGTTTGGTCCTTTTCAGCTACTTCCTGCATTTTTGTATCCTCATTTATTTTCTCACTGGTTCCTTCTGGCAGATTTGTGTTTGACTCCTTCAGAAAGTAAACTTGATGTCATTTGATTTTTGTTTTTTTTTTTTTTCTTTAGTCTGATGAGGAAGGTGGCAAGGAAAAAGATGGTGAAGAAGGCCAACAGAAATTTATTGCACATGTCCCAGTGCCAACTCAGCAGGAGGTAAGACATCAGGAAACTGAATTGCAGACACGTGCTCTTGCTATTGCAAGATATATAATTTGTTCCTTCAGTGATTTTACCCTGTGACTGTTTAATCCTCTTGCAAATGCTGTGGAACTGCCCACAACTATGGTACCATTGCTATACCCCTCTTCATCTGAGAATTTCCTAAACCTTGATAAGTATTGCATAACTTGGAATATGTTGTGGTGTTAGCACAGAATCACAGAATTCTGGGGGCCCCAGATCTGGATGCAGTGCTCCAGCTGGGTCTCATGAGAGCTGAAGAGGGGGGAGAATCACCTCCCTTGACCTGCCAGCTACCTTTCTTCTGATGCAGGCCAGGATATGTCTGGCTTTCTGGGTTACAAGCACACTTTTCTAGATTATGTTCTTTTTCTTTTTTTTTTTTTTTTTTTGTCCACCGGTACCCCCAAGTCCTTCCCCACAGGGCTACTCAATCCATTCTCCGCCCACTTCATATTTGTGCTTAGGATTGCCCCGACCCAGATGCAGGACCTCGTGCTTGGCCTTGTTGAATTTCATGACGTTTGTATGGGCCCACCTCTCAAGCCTGTCAAGGGCCCTTGTTGGTATTCCTTCCCTCTCTTCCACTCATTTTATATCAGTATAAGCCTCTTAACTTTCACTGTTCATTTCTTGTGCTTCCTTCTGTTTTGCTAGCTGGCTGTTCTGAGTTTCAGTGTCTCAACTAAGCTGAAGGTCTTATTTTTATACTTCCAGATTGAGGAAGCTCTTGTACGGCGAAAGAAGATGGAGCTTCTTCAGAAGTATGCTAGTGAAACTCTCATGGCACAGAGTGAAGAAGCAAAAAGACTTTTAGGATTATAATGCTGCATAAGTACGTCCTGGTTTTATATAATCCATCCTAAAGCACCAGTTTGTATTCTGACAGCAGTCACTTTTAGCCCTGAAAGTCCCTGTGAATGTTAAGAGTAAATTGTGATCATGTTAGTGTGCTCTACAAAAGGAAAAACACTCTTTTGGTCAATCTGCTAAGATGACTTGCACTTGGGTGCTGTGAAAGATCAAGCCTAGATTAGCATGGTTTCTACATCTCCAGTAACAGTCTTCAGTCATTTCACTTTGCGAAACACTGTGCGGCAGCACATCTTACAGATAAACCAGCAAACCAAATGACTACTTACATTGCTAGAGAAATCTAACTGATGTTACTGCCGGTCTGTCTCTTGTATCCATACTGTATGTGAACATATTTCTCATGTTAAGTTTATCTGACCTGAGTACAGAAGTAACTTACTCTGTTGTGCCTGGTTAGTTTACCAGAATAGCTCAGAACCTGCTTAGAGAGAGCTTGATGGCAGATCCTGAATGATTTTGAAGTTGATTTACTTTTTTATATAACACATGCAGTATTGTCCAAAAGCTGTTACTGTTTTTATGGTTTGGAGCCGTGTGTATGAACTGCTCGAATGCTGGATATTCTAGCAGCTACTGTAAATACTTTCATCTTTGCAATACCTTGTTCAAATATTTTTATTAAATTTTATACACACTAATGTCTTGTTTCATTCTAGTTCAAAGGATTGTGCTCTTTACCCTAATCCTAGTCAAAGAATAGGGTCATGAACAGTCATCCACACAAGGATTTGAAGTTGGGCATCCCCTCCTGCTCACCGCTTATGTGAAAAGAGGCAGATCACAGCAGAGGGCTTGTTTAGGGTCTGAGTGAGTAAGGTTGTTACACAAGTCTGAGTGAAACTTTAAATTGGACTTCTGTAGCCATGGGGTAGAAGTGCTATCTAAGGAATACACTATAAACAACTAACCACATCAGAGACTACAGAGTTTCTAGATGCTTTTAATATTCAGCTCTATATTATAATGTAACAGCATACTAGTCTGTTTCTGACTCAATTTTGTGTTCTCTGAGTTGCAAGCATCTTTCTGAAGCTGTTTTTACTCTTTGCTGCTGTCTCAGAAGTGTTTTCTAGTCTTGCTTTTAGAAAAGCTAATGTACTTTATCCACAAGTTATTTGTATTGCTGTAAAAGATAACACTTTCCTGGAGTTCCTTCCCTGAAATGCCTGACCACCAAGAATGGAAGAACAGGCTTCTTTCATGTTGGAGGCTTATGGACAGGCAGGACTGGATCAGAGTAGTGTACTTCACCTATGGAAGACATTGGTATGGGAAAGCTAAGGGCTTTGTTGCCTGGCACTCAGCCACTGAGTTCCTGGAGCTTAATAAATTGGTAGTCTGGCTGTTAAGTCCTTATCAAGCTTCAGGAGCGTTAGTCACCAAACCATAGTATGACAAAAAGGCAAAAATAAATGAACTAGAGCTGCCAAATGGCCTTGCCAAAAAGGCATTTAAAGTTTGGTTGTAAACAGCCCCATGCCAACCATGCTTCTGTTAGACTGTCCTTTTTTATTTTCTTTTTTTTTTTTCTAGTGGAAGAGTGCTTGTAAGAAAAATGCAGGTCTTGCTGCTGATTTGCTAAGCTATATGCTGCAGTGTATAGATAGCAATTGCATTCGTGTTCAAGAAAGTTTGTAACAGTCCTGAGTAAGACCAATATAATAAATAGAGAAGCCTTGAAGGCAAATGCTGATCTCCGCTGACCAAGACGAAGTGAATATATGTATAAAAATGCAGTCTGGAACTGTGCAATGCAAGATGGCAGCTGGTTGAACCCTCTGTGCCGAATATGGTGCAGCTCTGAATGCCAAGTGTTTTTAAGTACAATGTTCTCTTCAGCCTTGTCTGAGTCAACAAATTACAGAATAATTGTTTCTTGGCAGTGACCTACAGCAAAATGCCTATATTTTGTTTGCTTTACAGGCTGTTACAGGGCTGGTGAAGTTAGGGCTGGGACACTTCTGTAGCCAAAGCCATGAAACTGAACTTGTAGGTTGTCCTAAGGAATGCAACAGTGTTGTATGCCTGCATTAACTCTTACTTTGGGTGTGCAGCTGTAGAGATGTGGATTTTATCAGGCCTGTAACTCCACCATTGGTATAATACCTCAGTGTTAAATGTGTCCAGGTGACAATAATCATTTTACAATGCTTCTGTTCTTTTCTGCTTCAGAGTTCTGTGCTCTGCATGGTCTTGGCTTGGGATTTGAGGGAATAACTTCATCAACGTTTTAACAGTTCTGTTCTCTGCATCATTTTCTGTGTGCTTTTCTGATCTGGAAATGCACGCAGCTTTGTTTCATTTAATGCCAACCCCGTGAGTAGTGCAGACAGAAGACACCGTCCCTACTCTGTCGTGGTAAGTGCAGCGCAGTCACTGGAGGACCGGGATCTCCCTGGAGCGTTGGGGAGGGAGGATGAGGAAATCGGTGGATTTATTCCATATGAGGATGAGGAAGATAGGGAGAGAGCTTTGTGGGGTGCCCGTTAACTAATGGTATGTTGTGTTTGGTTCCTCGCCTCAGGAGTTGGGGAGTGCTGCTGCGATGCCGCTCCAGCTCCCAAAGGGGAGCTGTGCACCTCGCACAGGCCGGGGTGTCGGGCTCCGCTCCTTCTCCTCCCGCTGGCTGATCCCGGGCCCTTTACCGGGGCGGGGCTCCCCGGGTCCTCGGCACCGCCCGCCCGGGGCGGAGAAGCCGGCGTGGGGCGGGGCGGGGATCAGGGGCCGGCGGCTCGGGGCCGTGCCCGGGGGCTGCCGCCATGCGCCGGGGGCTGCCCGCGCTCCGCGGCCTCCTCGGGGGCGGCTCCGCGGGGCGGCCGCTCCGGCTCCTGGCGCCCAGCGGGCCCGAGCCGCCGGCTGAGGGCAGCGGGGGCGGCCAGGTGAGAGGGGCCGGGGCCGGGCGGGACCGGGAAGCGGCCGCAGCCGGGCCCGGGGGGGGTCCCGCGGGGCTGGGCCTGAGGGAGGCGGCGCCCGCCCTGTCGGAGCGGGGCGTGAGGCGCGCGGGTGCCGCTGCTGCCCGCTGGGAACCCGCTGGGAACCCGCTGCTCAGCTCCTCTCCCTCGGTGCTCGGAGAGCTAAACTTGACGCTGCCATGCCTTTAAAATATTGACCTTACTAAACTGGGCTTTGCATTGGAATACACTCCCACTCACGGGTTTTGAAAAGGCAGTTTGTGGCTTCTAGAGGAGACAGCAGCGAGATCTTGTCAAGGAGAGTGTAGCTGCCTCTCCGGTCTCTCACGGTGATGGCAGTGTCCATTTCTGCTGTACCCAGCTGCTGGAAAGATGTACCCAGTGAATAATTGATGAGGGACAAAGTGCTGCTTTGATGGGCAAAATGCCCTTCTCAGTGCGCGGCGGGCTGGATTTCTGTCAGTACGTCCCTTCCAATAGTATTGTATCACATAAGTGTGCCTATAGGGCGTATTAGAAAGGGCAAAATGCAAGATCCTTTCCTTCCCTGTGCAAGTGTGTCTGTTAACTGCAGTGTAGATGTTGCATATTTCATCAAATATGTACACATATGGACATAACTAATACACTCTTTCTTTTCAATTTCTTCTTGCAGCTCAACGTTCTGCCGTCCTTTGGGTTTCTTTTTGACATTGATGGTGTACTAGTACGAGGAAAGACTCCGATACCTGCTGCAAAATCGGCCTTTCAAAAGCTAGTTAATTCTCAGGGACAATTCTTGGTGCCTGTGGTATTTGTCACCAATGCAGGGAACTGCCTTCGCCAGAAAAAAGCTGATCAGTTGTCTCATATACTGGGAGTTCCAGTGAGTAGCTTAAATCCTATTTCTTTAGTTATATACTTTCAGTGATTGTCAAATGTATTATATTCCATTAAATGCTGCTCAGTGAATTTTGCTTTTCCCTTAGGCCCTCTGAAATGCTTTGCTGGAAGTATTATAAAAGTAAAAAATACTCTCTGAAGCTAATGGCAATGGTATTTCTGTTGGTAAAAGTAGTGATATTTCCAATAGCAATGGAATTTCTTTGCAAAATTATTACTGTGGGACTAAAACTTGCCTTCTCTTTCTGAATAAAAATAAATGCGTGCCAGTAACATGAAATGCTGTTCTAGCAAGCTGAATGTCTTCAGTGATAATGTGAAGACTGGAGCCTCCTATCTGTCTTTGGTACAAGTGGTAAAAAATTTATTCCCCTCCAGTCTTCGGGCTCTGCAGGCGCATTGTTGAGGACTATGTTTGAGCATTACTAAGATGAAGCCATAAAGTTAGTTCTGCGGTGCCTTTTCTTTCAGTAAGGGTCTACATCAATAGAAAATCACACATGTTGTGGGTAAAATGTGATATCTGAATTATTTCTGGATTTTTTTTTTTTTTTTAGATCTGTAATAGTAGTAGATAGTAATTTGTAGTAGGAATTCTTCTAGGATAATCATTTTACTGTTTTCATAGCTATTAAAGGAATGGGATATGTAAACTAAGAGAAGAAGGTCTTCTAATACAACAAAATCAACGCTGCAGTCTAGCAAATCTACCGCAATTAGATCTAGAGCAGTGCTGGTTCATCTTCCTTGTTTGTTTTCTAAATTAATCTGGTAACTCTGTAAAACCAGGAGAGAAAAACTTGTGTTGATGTGGAATAGAAGAATTATGGAAGCAGAAAGGAATGTGTATGTCAATTAGCAATGTATGTTTGTTTGTTTGTTTGTTTTTTTGACAGGGAGATGTTATCAGTACTTCAACTGTGAAATTTAGTAAAAAAAATAAAAATAAAAAAATGATATGTTAGGGTTTTATACAAATATGTATGATTGTTTTGTAATTCATAGAATTTGTCACACCTGTTAATTAAATCTACATTTAGATCACTTACCTGAAAGCCAATAAATTCCTTTTGTTCTTAAATTTCAAACAGGTTTCCCAAGACCAAGTGATGATGTCACACAGTCCTCTGCGGATGTTCAAACGTTATCATGAAAAATGTGTTCTTGTATCTGGACAAGGACCGCTTCTGGATATTGCTCAAGAGTATCTTTAAAAAAAACAAATGGCAACTTTCTGCTTAAGTATTTTCCTTAATCGAGTTCGGAAAACCAAATAATTAAACACTACAAATTCAGTATTAAGAATTCATTGTTAAGCTATGGTAGTTCCTACTCTAATGTCAAATGTATGTTTTGAAAATGGTTGCCTTGTTGATTGTTGCTTTACTTTATTCTGCACTTTTCACCTCACTGTTACATGTCTTTTTACTGTGAAAAGAAGAAAGAATTATTTCTTTGGCATATATTTGTAAACGATCCTTTGGCACAAAGGGTTTGTACCCTCTTAGAATCATAGAATCATTTAGGCTGGAAAAGACCTCTAAGATCATCTGGTCCAACCTTTATCCTCTTGAGATGAGAGCATGGCACTCTACAGTATCATGTAGTAAATAATATAGTTAGACTTATTTTGGGAATGGTATTTCAGAGCCTGAGTTTGTTGCTCTACGTTTCTTTCATTTTCTGTTACCTTCTTCAGGCCAGCCTGCTTGGCTCATGTGCCAGTAGGTTATCCCCTGCTAGTGGAGGGGGATGTTATTATCTGTTATTTATCTCACCTTCCTTTCAACTCAGCAGCTTGAGATCTGCTTTGTAAAGGAGAGTATCACAGCATTAACAAATAACCTGCTAAACATGTGTTCTTAGCTTTACTAGCTGGGGTGTAGGTTCTACTTTTGTGATTTGTGTTTTTTTTTTTTTCCTTTTTGTAAACATCTTAGTCCAGGTAATATTGTTTTCATAGCCAATATCTAGAGTAATCCTATACTTGAAAATATTTTTGCAGCTTCTGTACTAACTGTCAAAAAGATCTTTAATTACATTGATATAATTGTGCCGTTGAATCTTCTGACTTAATGATCTTAGTAACTCCCTTCTGAACTTTTAAACCATAAGTTGTAAAAAATGTAGATGCAATTTCTAAGTATAAGTTTGCTTTCATGCTCAAAGATGAGAAAAATTACTGAAGGAACGTTCCAGTTACCTGCCAAAATTTGTTAGACATGTTAAGAGAAAAGTATGTTACAGGACTGAATTCAGCATATAAAAAGTGCACTTGTTGGATAGTATTCTTGTAGGGGATAACCTTATTTTCAAATAACTTTACAAGTAGTCTGTAGTGTTAATTCTGATACAAAATCAGGTGGCTTAGTTTGTATAATTGATATATATAAATAGCTCTTATTTGCATCTTCGTTGCAGAAGTCTTAGTAGTATTGCAAATAGCATCCCAACTGCTTTTTGCTGAAATGAGCAGTTTTAGTTTGATTATTTTCTTGCTATGTAAGTTAAAATTAATGAGATATATCTGCATTTAAGAGAACTACTATGCAAATCTGGAAATTTTCTCCATTTTTTTCTCCTTTCCTTTTTTTAGTGTATTTCTGAATTTATCTTTGCTACCTGTAGGGCATAATTAACCTTTATTGGTCAGTTCATTGTTCTGCAGTAGACTGAGTTTTACTATGTTTATCTGAAAATACATTTGCAGCTATAATGGCCAAAGGAAAGCACGGTTTGTGGGGACAATATTTTTTCCTCAGATCATATTTCTTTCCTATAAGGATTACATAACTTGTCTTGCCATCAGATGAACTTTTCTGTATTTATGTAAAGATAATCTTTGAATATTGCAGCTGTTGGGTGGCTTCTTCCTTCTAATCTCGTATTTTGAGCAAGCTCTCTACATAATTTCTGTCTTAAGATTTCAGGCATACAGATCTTCTGTATATAAAGAATGGAATGATCATCTTTTTATCTCATGCAAGAAAAGTCTTTAATATCTTGCTTTTATTCCGAAATAATTTGCTTTACTAGATGATAAACTGCTTATGTTAAAACTGAATTACAGATTTTTTAAAAGTCTTTGAACGTAAGCAATTCTGTATCCTTAACTGGTGTTTTTCCAGCCTTGGTTTCAGTCAACCCATCACCATTGAAACATTGCGGGAGAAATACCCTTTGCTGGATGTAGTTGACCATGACAGAACACCTGATGTTTTGGTGAGTCCGTGTTTTGTTTTAAATTCTTTGTTTGATCATTACATGACATCCTACAGTAGAGGTCCGTATTTAAACTACAGAGCTAATGCAGTTGTTTTATGCTGCATTTTGACTTAGCTTTTTTTTTTCTGTTTCCCTGTTTGTTTTATTGCAACATTTTTAACAGCTGTAGACTTTTTTTCTGTTCATGTTAACTTTATAACAAATCTTTACGTTTTGTAATTTACGGCTGTGAGACAACTTATAACTTGTTACAGATACCTAATCAAAAATCTGTTTTGGAAAGCTTACTGGTTTCTATGAATGTATGGAAGATGAAATTAGCTTTTTCTTCCAGTATGGGATGGTCTTTGCTGTTTTAGGCTCTGAGGTTGATCTGGTTGTAAAGAATGATTTGCAGATAACTAACTTTTCTCCAAAGGACTGCTTTTCTTGTTTATACCATATGTTAGTATATTTAAATATTAACAGTACATACTGTTAGTTTGCATTAGCAGCATGGTTTCAACTGAATTTTGCAGAATTTCAATATGAAGTGAATGTATGCATACACATCAAATGTATGCATATATTAAATATATGCAGGGTCAGTAAATGAAGATTTTTTTCAATGGATAGTCAAGAAATTCTTTATGGTTCATACAATTCTTAATTATATCAGTGTTTGCCTTGCTTCTCAACCATGCACATTTAGAGTTCAAGAAAATGGTTATGTGTTTTTCACAACGACAAGTAAATCATGAAACTACTGTTTGGCAAATAAATGTTGTATGATGTGTTAACAATATTTTCTCTTAGCAGTGTTAAAGAAATATGTTTCAAAATACATTTTTCAAATGTGTTGTTAATGACAGAGGCCTGTGTTATTCCTGCAGAAAAACAAACATCCATACTTTACGTAACACACAGGAGTGAAACAAGCAGCTGAAGCTTTGTATGTTCCCAGAGGTGGTTGAATAGATTGTAGAAGGCTTCCATATGTGGAATGCAATAACTTGTCTGCTGTCCATTTACCACGAGATTTCAGTTAGAACTTGAAATGCAAATTTGTAAGTAAACTGACATCAGGTACTGGAGCAGTAGCTGCACCAAAATAGAGTGTGTGTTTCCTGTCAGTGTTGTGGAAGGCAAGTGTGGGAGCTATACTTGAATTTATGCTGTTAAAAATAGTAGTAGCTGTTTAATCTTGTAGAAAACTTTCACTTTTTTCTTATTTCAGTACCCCTCTGCTGTGGAGCTTCCCAAGATTGAGGGTCAGTTATCTTTACTTAACTTGCAACTGTCCATTAATAGATGAAGTACCTTTATTGTACTTTTCAGTATAATTAGTATTGCTGGCCTCATTAGAAAGTTGGTTGAGACAATTCCAAAATTTCCTCATTAGTGACATTGGCCATTAATATGGAATGTATAAAGCATGAGAAAACTGTTTTATATGTGCAATTTTCAACCATGTATCTTTAAAGCTTCAGAAGGAAGGTGAGGTCTGCTTTCCTTTTCTATCTTTTTTTACCAGGCTATTGTTGCATTCCTTTTAAATATTAAGAATGAATTGAAGAGTTCAGAAATAACGGGTCTTGGTCTTGCAGTTGTCAGGAGGGTCACTTCAGAGTTGTAGTATAAGAAGCATCATGTTTCAGTAGGCCATATTCACAGCCCCATTTTGTCTGCAAAACAGGAAGGTAAGGTAAAAACTGGACTTCAGGATTTAAAAAAAACAAAACAGATTGTGATTGCTGGAGATCTGAAAGTTGTCTAGAATCAGTATCCCAAATTCGTTTTTAAGACGAATAAAATAACATTACTGATGGATTATTTTAATACAGTATGTAAACATACAGAATTCACAAAGGTACACAAAGATACATAAGACTTAGTGAAGCAAGATTGTGGAGCAACTTAGCCAATACAAAAAAACAAAACAAAAACAAAAACAATTTCTTAAACACATAGATTTTGCCTTGGGGTCTTGTTACTTCCAAGATTTTTCTATGAATGAATGGATATGTAATGCTAAAACATAAAATTAATGCGACAATTTAACCATGAACTGATGAAATAAAATTAATTGCTCAGCCTCTTTAGATCAAGTTGTGTCAGGGTTTTGATGCCCTGTTAACTGTGTTTTGTAATTCTTGTTCTTACAGCTGTTGTCTTGTTTGGGGAGCCAGTCAGGTGGGAAACCAACCTTCAATTGATCATAGATGTTTTGCTGACAAGTGGCTATCCTGGAAATCCGTATCACCATGAAAATTACCCTCATATACCTGTACTGGCTTGTAATATGGATCTGATGTGGGTAGCTGAAGCACAGTCTCCAAGGTAAGTGCAATTACAGTGTGTATATGCCATGTTGTTTCTTAGGTTTTTCCTCGCTTTTTCAGTAGAATCCATGATCAACGTTTTCATGTAAGTGTTTGATGTAGCTTCACAGTAGGTCTCAGCTTTGAATACAACATTTCAAAAGTAGTGTACTTTCAGCAAATGCTGCCTTTTTACTGCTTACAGTATCGCATCCAGGAAATTAGTTACTTGAGATAAAGCGCTTGTAACACCTAAACCTTTTTTGTTTCCTTACTTGCAAAATAGAGAAATTTTTGCTTGAGAGCCTTAGAGTTTGTCTAAAGGAAAAAAATTGGAAACAATACCCCCTTTTATTTTTCTTTTCATATCATTAGATCCTTTTTTTGGTATTCCTGTTTTCTACCCTGCAGTTTCTTGTAAAGTGAAGAAATTGCCCTGCTAATTGAAAGCAGTGGTTTTGGGCTGAAGACAACATAGTGAACTGTTTAGGCAACATAAGAAAAAGAAATAGTAAAAACTGAACATACACCAAAACAGATATTGTTGTTATTGTGACTTGATAATGGGCTTGCTCTTGGGTAGAAGATCTTGTCAGGTATTCTTACTTGGTTGCAAAGACCATCTCTAATTAGCACATTAGCAGACTACGTGTATGTAATAGTTTCAACTAGAGTAAGGTAATGAGTATATCTACAGAAAATAAGACGCATAGTTTCAGTTTTGTTCTTTGGGAAAGATCCAGTGTTAAAACTGAATCTTCCTTTTTCATTTGAGCTTGACAGTATGACAGATTTGTATGTCAGTGCTGTTACCTTCCCTATTGGAAAATGTGGCTTTAAGCTGTTGCTAATAAGTACTGGAAATAATTGCGTCCTGATTTATTCATGTTTCTTAACAAACAGGGTAGAGAGAGGAAATGAACAGTTAATTTGGCAAAACTAATTCTTTACCATACTTAAGTCCTACAGCTGTTTCCAACTTTTTAGCTTTTTTCTTAAAGATTATTTTAATTTCTAGGCCACTAGAGACTGAATTTATTAGCACAATGTTTCAGATGGCTTCTGGTGCTCATTAGATCAGTGTTACACTTTTTTTTTAGGCTGTAGATACTTGGTTTGAACAGCTATACTCAGCTATGTGCCTAACACAGATGAGTACCTAACACTTCTTCTAAAGTACTCTGTATACTCCAGAAAATAGGATTGCTGTATAGCAACTTTTTATTCTTCTTAGTGTTTTTGATGCTTCCTTGTTTCTCGAGTGATATGTATTGATCCATCCCTAATCCCATATCCTGATTTCAGTAATGAAGTAAAACTGCTTTTTTAAAGCATGAAATTACATCTTTTAAATTAATTGGCTTGGCTTGGTTTGGCTTGATTGATGAGCCATTGTCACTGTTACCAGCTTGCTTGAGTAAAATAATTGAGTTTTCAAAAGCTTGTTGTAAAATTATAATTTGTTCCATGATTCTCCGTTGCTTCTATTCTTGAGAGAAACCCATGAAGTTTTTAGATTACAGAGTGGATTTTAGTATACTCCTGTGGTTAAAGAGGTTAATTTTCCTTCTGTTCATTTCCAACTTTCCTTTTCATCTTCTCTTTAGTAATTCAGCTGATTCTGTTTGGTCACTGCAAAGAGCAGCTCACAGGCTAGGTATTATTTCAAAAATTACCTTTTGTAACTGAAGCACCTGCTTAAATACAAACAACAGTATTGCAAATCATTGCTGCATTTTTAAAACTGGTAAGTCTGTGCTGTCCCAATTACTTTTTTTGTTAAGGTCTTCATTGTTCAGCTAATCAGCACCTAGTTATTACTGAAACAGCTGTGGAAATGTTGCATGCAAATTGAGGGAAAATTCATGGTAACAGGATATGATTTATTCCTTAAAAAAAAAAAAAAAGAATCTAATTTTTTGCTGTATACTTTATAAATATACTTTATAAAATTTGATTTGTCACAAGGCCTTTTTATCTTTTTAGGTTTGGGCATGGAACATTCATGGTTTGTTTGGAAAACATTTACAAGAAGATCACTGGCAAAGATCTGAAATATGAGGCCTTAATGGGCAAGCCTAGTGAACTGACCTATCAGTACGCAGAATACCTTATCAGGACTCAAGCAGCAGAAAGACAATGGAAGCAACCTATTCAAACTCTTTATGCTGTTGGGTAAGATGTTACAAGTCTTATGAGGTATTTACTTATGAGATAATACCAGCAAACTAAAATACCCAGCTCTTACTTGGTTAGTTGGGATCATTATGCCACCACTGGGACTTCCTAACATTCTTGGCACTATGTTGTACTTTTTTATGATTTCAAACCTCATTGTTTCTAATCTTGAAACTTAATACTTAGCTCTTTCTATGTGTAATTTCTGTAGAAGTGCAAAAATTGGTTTATATGTCCATTTCTTAAAATTTCTCTTACATGCTCTGTAAGTCTTTAACAAAAAGGCAGTGGGAGGACTGTTTTGTTAGTTACTGGTATAACCCTAACAAGCTTTGAGTAGAAAATAGAATTTTAAGGAATATAGAGCTAGAATTGATTTGTGGTGTCATTAAGCTTGGTCATGCACTACTGTGCATGTAGTGGCATCATAGAATCCTTTCCATAGAATGAGATAAAGCTCTGTTATATTAGGGACTGTTCCAGAATCTCCAAGATGTTTGGAAATATAGTAAGTTCATTCATGGACTGTTGAAATTTATTCTTGATTTCCTTTCCTGCTTACCCACGTCTGCAATTTTCATTATGGAGAATTACTCCTATTAAATGTCAGAGTTGATACAATGGCATAATAAAATAGCTATATGTTTGGATTTCTTCCTGTCTACATCCACATGAAGTTACGTAAAGCACAAATTAAACTGTTAAATCAAACCCTTAAAAATGTCTTCTCTTATGAATTGAAATCAGAGAACTAAAATTGTGTTGCTGACTAAACTTCTTACATTTCCAGAGATAATCTCATGACTGATGTCTATGGTGCTAACCTTTACAATCGCTATCTTGAAGAGAAGAACTCCAGAAAAGGTTCAAAAACACAGATTCAGGCAAAAGTTGCTGGAGGCAGAGGGTCTGCTGCTCTCTCTCAGGATGATGAAATAGACAACAGTTGGGAGAATGAATTGGCATCTGCTGCTGCTACCCACTGTAGGTCTGTTCTCGTTTGTACTGGGGTTTATAATCCTCACACAGAGGCACCCTTGGATACCAAGGAGAGCATAACTGAAACAGTGTTCCATGGCCACAGAGATTTTAGGTTTGATCCCGGTTTAGTAGAACCAGATCATATTGTACCAGATGTTAATGCTGCTGTAGACCTGATCTTCCATCTGGAGAACTTTGCTCCTAATTGATACGACAAGATTTCTTAAGGTCTACTCAGTGCTATGCTCCTGCCCACCTCCCAAATCCAACAGCGTGCTTTAAAATCATGCCACAAACTTTCTAAAGCTTTATTTTTATTTTTTTTTTTTACTTTTTCATTTATATAAACTTCTATAAATTTATATACATATAAGTATATATGAGCACAGGTTAATGTGCTAAATATACCTAATATAAAATTATATACGTTAAAAATCTGTGCTTAATATACTTAATATAAAATTACTTAAGTATAAATCATACTTTTAAAGTATTGAAAATATGTAATTTCTTGCTTTTGTTTCCCTTTATTTTCATCCTATTTGTGTTTTTTTTGTTTGTTTGTTTGTTTTAAGCTATTTTAGCTATTTTATCATAATAGCTTGTGTGTGTTACTGGTACTTAAATTGCCATGTGACAGTTCATTTTTTTGTTTGCTGAAAGATTTAGCTTCTAATTTTTGGGGGTCTTTGTGATGCTGGGGTTGTTCACACAATTAGAAATTGGTTGGTAATGAGCACAGTAATGCAGACTTCTCAGTATTCTGCAAGTACTGTGCACTTTTTCAAATATGTTGCTTCAAATAAATGCTAAATTCAAGTATGTTCTGCCTCTTTGTACTCACATGTAACCCCACAGTCTTTCTTCTTATCTGTTTTTGCAGTATGTCTGTGGCTGCATTGCCTCTCTACTTTGACATGTAAATCTGTAAAAGAAATGCCCATATAAGCTGATGAAGGCTGAGTTGTTAAACACCATTTTTAGAACTCCTGCAAAGCTGAACAGAAGAAAGGCAGCTAACAATGGCTGTTCTGCATGGCGTAATAGCTGGCCTTTTTGTTGTTACCTTTTTATTTGCACTTCTATGGGGAATTTAGAATTTTAGAAATTTTCAGGCATTTCTCTCAGCTGGACTTCTCCACTGAATGTGTGACTGTTATTTGGGCAAAAAGTGCCTAGTAATTTACTTGAAGCTTCATACCACTGTGGTAGTTAACTGGCCTTTAGATTAATATATTTTCTTTGTGTCAATGTCATGTGTTTGGTTCACGGATTTTATATCTGTTCATTAAAATAAGTAATTTATTTTACCTTATTTTTGTAAAATACTTTTAAACATTTTAATCCAAAAGATATCTTTGAAAATAGTTCTATTGGTTGTAACAGTGTATTTGTGAGATAAGTTATGTCTGTCCTTTATTGATTGGCAAACATAAATCAATTAAGTGTATTTAAAAACAAAGTCAACTTACACAGAAATCTGTGAAATCTGTGGGTCTTCCATTTTAGACAGGTGGTGGCATGAAGAGAAATGACTTCCTGGCCAACTTCTTCACTGTTTATTATTGTGAATTCAAAATCTGAAAGCTCTTCATGTCATGAAAAGATCAAAATTGTTACAATGCAGTCAGGTTTATCTTGTGTTTTTTCCATGTGCAAATCACTCTAGTCCCTCTCTCAACAATCAAGATTGTTGATTCATGTACTGGTAATATTTCATAAGTAACTTTCAACATACCTTGCATGATCCAGGCTTCTAAGTTTAAGGAAAGTGTTCCAAACTGTATCTCCCTTTTTCTTCACTAGGGAAATACTATAGCTGCATATTCTTGCCTTTCTTATTGTTTCAGCAAGTGAATATTTATCTACTTCTTAAAGCACATTTCTGTAATATGCCAACTATTTGCAAAGTATGCCAAATTCTTCTAAGTAAAGAGTGTAGTTATGGTTTTGTAAGATGACAAGATAACTGAAGATGTGTTGTTTCAATACTGAAGCATGTTGCAGAGCTCTTTATTATTGGAAACAGTTTTAGACCATCAGTAAAGCAAGAAATAAAAATGTGGAAGTTGATGAAGAACGTGTTGTTCCATTTTATTCTTTTTCCCCCAAAATATGCATGAACATTTCAAAAGGTTCATGAAAGAACTGTGTATATACTTTTAAACTTCATTCCTCATGAAAACAGTAACTTAAAATGCTTATGTTTGGCTACTAATCAGGCTACTGTTTTTTCACTACACTAAAAGGAGGATGGTTTTCAGTCTGTAGTCCTCTTAGATCATTTGCAATGATAAGTCTGCTTGAGTTATCTTTAATGTGATTCTTCAGATGAATGTATGACTGAGTCCCAGTAGTGTTCTAGGGTGCTACTAGATTTGGAGCTGTACCAGCGCAAAACAAAAAAAAAACAGGTAGTTGTTACCATGCATGGTGAACAAAGATGACATATATATTGGAACTACTACAAAACTTGAGAGAAACGTTAGCGTAGTAGGCACAGGTCATGGTACACTAGTGAGTTGGGCAGATGTCTTGGTGAAATATGAAAAACAAATTTTAAAGATTTGAAGGGATATAGTGAGTTACCTTTGAGAATGTTTATCTGGAGCTCTTGCTGAATGCAAAAGACCTCACAGCACCCACTTGCTAAATGCTCCTACAACTTCATTATGGTGTTGCTGAACTAAGTGCACTGGAATTAAATTGTATTCTCTAATTATTACAGCAACCACAACTGACATAGAGCTAGCAATGGAGCCTGAAAGCAAACTGTTTCCTCATTGCCATGTTCCAGTGTTAATGCATACTGAACACTTTCACTGCAGAATTTGAAATACTACTGATGTTAGTGGTATAGCATCTCTTTGCCAGAGGTTCTCACACTTTGCAAGGTGAGTAGAAAAGCATGTGTTCCTCCCTCAATGAGTCCCAGTCTAGTTTGCACTTTAATTTAAAATTCTAGAGAAAATGTTTGTGCCAAAATGCTTCCATACCAGTCTACTTTCCTGAATTCCAGCAAAAGACTTGTCATCTTTACCTTTTTTTAGTATGACTGCTGAAAAAGCAGGCATTATTGTTCATTATACTGTTTGATGTCTTACAAACGAAGATACTACACTGACACTTCTTATTTGAATTTTGCCTCCTGTTCACTCAGGAAGTGGTACAGATGAGAACTGCAAAAAAGAAGTGTCAAAACATTGCAGTAGAGTTACTATTGCAATAGCTAACATTACCTTGATGTGGATGATGTGGTCGCAAAGCAGTTTACTGTACTAATGGGGGAGTCCTGGGCAGGCACAGAAACAGGACTTTCAGGGAAAAAAAATGGTATGAATTTGGGATGCTTCTGTGGACTGAATTCCTGTGAGCTGCAGAAGTGGATGAGATGCTTTCCTGGAGTACTTCTGCCTTCGTCCTGTGAGAGGATGCATGTGGCATGCTTTCTAAAAGCTAAAAAAATGCAATGGTCCAGGCTTATCTGCCATAAATATGAACAGATATTAATTGGTAATTACCTTTGTTTTTCACATAAACAAAGTGGTGCATGCTCCTCAACATTCCAGGTTGGATATCAGGAAAAGGTTCTTCACTGAGAGGGTGGTTGCTCACTGGAACGGGCTCCCCAACGATGTAGTTACAGCACCAAGTCTTTCAGCGTTTCACAAGTGTTTGTACTATGTTCATTAGCAATATGGTCTGAATTTTGGGGTAGTCCTGCATGGAGTCAGGAGCTGGGGCCTTGTGGGTCCCTTCCAACTTGGGATATTCTCTGATTCTATGAAAAGCTGCGTGAATACAGCTCACAAGTATTTCTCAAAGGAATTTTTTTCTCAAATGGACCCAGTGCAGCCCATATCTAGCTGCGAGCAGCTCCTGCTGAGGGACTTGTTTTGCCCTTGGAAAAATCCCTGCCACTTGCAGACACAACTGCCTTTGTAACTGTAGTCGGGTTTTTGTTTTTCACCAAAACTGAAGAATATTGAACCCCAAAGTATGGGGAAGTTCATTAAGAAGTGAATTTATTTGTGGAACGAGGGGATACCTCCTGAGAAGCAGAATCTGCGCCAGTTTTTGTACCACATTCTCCAGGGGCACGAAACCCCGGTCAGGTTTGCTCTGAGGGCGGCCGGCGGGAGGCGCTGTCCGCCATCTTGGCTTTACCTCAGCCCAGGCACCGCGCCGCGCAGGCAAAGCAGGGCAAGTCAGAGCATTGCGACCCTCTTCTGTCTCCGTGGATTTATTTATTTATTTATTTATTTATCAATATATGCTTTATAAGTAGTAAAATGAGAAACCATTGCCCCCACACAGTTCTCCAAGGCCTGGTATATTTCAGTTCTCCATCCTCGTGGACAGAACTCCAGCTCGGTAAGGGTTAATATAAGCTGGGCAGACCTTGAAAAAGACAAAATGCTTAAAAATAGTAAGAGACAGTGTTCACTTAAAATTCTAGCATCTTCTAATTCCCTTCCTCTTTTGATTCCAAACAAGTACTAGGCATTTGATCCCTCCTTAGTAAGTTTTTCCTGTCAGGAACCAAGAAATTTTGCCCAAGGAATTTGAGAGATGAGCTCAGAGTTTGGTGCTCTTAAAACCTCTCCCAGCTGCTGACAAAGACACATCTTGCTATAGATAATTTCAAATGAATCAGAAGTGTTCAGTTTTGGCATGAGCTATGATTTTAGCTATGTTTAGGGTTTGTGTGTTTTTCAAAATTGTTTGGACTTTGTTCAACAAGAAAATAAGCAGCTGGGGCATGGAAGTGACAGTGTTGTCTTTTCATATAAAATGTGGGAAGGTCATGCAGTTGAAAGGCTCTGGAACATTTGGTTTTTGTTTCATCAGTGGATGGATTTGCAGAGAGGCTGGTATCATACCACAGCCCTGTTTTCTTTGCACTGTATTTTCAGAACTTCAATTTGTCGTCTCTTGGCTCAAAAAATATTTTGAGGTGACGCATAGAAAACTAACAGAATGATTCACAGAAACATGTTGCTAAACTTGGATTTTGCCAATGTAAGTAAATTTGTTCCCTACAGCTACAACTGAATCTCAACTGGGTAAATTAATTGTTAGAAGCAATTATTTTCAGAGTGCAGTTTATCAAGTTCCAAGCACAGTATCAGCACGTAGGGATACGGAGACAACACAGTGCGGCTTCATACTATCTGAATAGGGTTTTGTACCCTGATGTGCAAATACATTTGAAATTGATGCACATAAATATTGTTTTAAATTATCCTAATTGCACAGACAGCTGAAGGTATGTGAACTTGCCCAGACCTTTGGTTCTGTAGTTGACTGAGTCTGTGTTCAGATCTTTTGTATATACAAGGTTGGATTTTTGGGTGATGAAATATATCCTGTGTTCAACATTGAAATAGCCTGCATGTTGAAAGTTTCAAAAGAGTATTTCTGTGGTCGATTTTGTGAATAAAACAGATCAGTAGGTATTCCAAATATCTCAGGTGGTACACACACAGTAAACCCAAAAATCTGAAAATCAGCTGAGCCAGAATCTTTTACTGATCTTAATTAAAAGTTATCCCTCCTCTTTGATCTTGAATGTCAGGCTCTGAATCCTTGATTGTGCTAACCATGTAGAGTTAAGCACCCACATGGGTTTACTAGAGATTAACCTCTTGTAGCAGAAGCAGTACCTGTTGAATAGGTAAGAATATTTCTCAGAGTAAGAAATGGATTTTCAACAGGACTTGAGGCTCATTGTTTTTTTATGGAAATATATCTATGGATGTGTTTTTGCTAGTTTAACAGCTGAGATCCTGACCGTAGATGGGGGGGGGGGAAAATACTTAGTGAATTTACACACTAAAAAATATTTTTTTGCAGATTAAAGCTACATAATAAAATCCAGCTTGCCTTACTGACAATTAAAAAATGGTTGTGCTATAAATATCCTCCTGTATCCAAACTATTCCACAGTCCTAGATAATTCAAGGAAAGGTTTATAGAAATGTAGGAAGTGCCTTTGAAATGTTTGTTATATGCATCTGTAATAAACCAACTAAGCAATTGTCCTGGATTTTTTCCACAAGAAACTGAAGGAGACCTGCTAATGCTTTTAATTTGTAAGTTGCACGCACTTACTGAATTTGTAAGGGCAGCACAGATCAGAGCAGGGGGTTGTTTTTTCTTGATGTGTTTGTTTGTTTCTCAGCATAACATTTTCTGACTAGGTTTGCCTGTTCACAGTTTTAAGGGTGTGCAAGGGGAGATTTTGGCTGGTGTTAACAGTCTGTTTAGTTCATCTACTGATGCTAGAATTAAAGGGACATGTAAAAAGAAAGGGGTGTTGTTTCGTTTAACTTACAGCAATCAAATAAAATCCAGGATCTAAATGTCCCCTAGGGAAGGCAGTTTTAATCACATTGTTTATATTTGACTGTAAACACTGAAAAAAGTTATTTGCACCCCTAGTTATACCTCTAGTCTTCCATTTGCACATGGAAGACTTTGAATCAATTCTATGTGCATTCATTTCTGTAAGGGATGAGCAGTTGTAGGTATTAGAGGAAGAATTAAGTACTGCTTGTTTAATGGAGTACGTTGAACTACCTTGTGTTAAATTAGAAGACCATCACAGCACTATAGAATAGGATAGAGAATTTCTTAAAATCTTGATTTTTGTCTCTGATAAACTAAAGCAAGGTACATGTATAAAATAACAAAAGATACTAATTGCCAGATGTTTACTTTAATTAAACCTTTTTAATGATACACAGTACAATGTATCCACTACACTACAATTCACAACAAAAAGCAGGTTTCATATCTGTTTAAAAATATTTTTCATAATGAATTCATAAATAGATGGAAGTAAAGTATAAAAAAAAAATACTGTAGTATGCAAGCTTGCTCCCTTGTCTCCTCATATTCCAAATGATCTAGTCAATATTGTGGTAAGCAAAGTAGTTACTGATGATTAGAAATGTATAGCCTGCATCTCTTGAAGAAACCTTGAAAAACAGCAACAAATTTGTCCTAGAAAATGCAGAATAATTGTAACACTGTTATCCTCTCAACCCCTCAAATCATTTTGGAATGCATTGAATGAATTCAATATGAATTAGAGATTTGTATTTTCTCCCCAACAGGTGTGTGAGCCAGACTCACTTGAATGCTATCTAGTCTCTAGAGTCGTGCATCCTCTGGAGACTGGGTTTTATATAAATTATCAGATACCAGTGAGTGAGGCACAAAAGAGGGAAAAGTTTGTTGACAACACTGAGTGTATCTGACTATCAAAAATCTTAGCATTTCTCCACACAGACAAAATAAGACAAATCTTTAAACAGTTACAAATAAGTAAATTCACCTTCTGCTCAGGATATTATGCCTGGGAAACGGAACGGTGTCTGATCTCATGCACTGGCTTCCCAGGTCCTGAAGCGGTAAGTTTATGTAGCACCATTCAAACACAACTCCACGTGGTGAGTACATTACACCACCAAGCTGTATTAGTAAATTTACTCTCCTCATCAATATGTCACTTCCTTAAGAAAACATAGATAGCATTTTCTTTTACCAAGTGTCAAACTACTTTTCATACCTAGAATGATCTATTTTAATACTGCTTGCAAAGGGAAAAATGTTTATCTATGCACAGCACGGAAATAGGGAATGAACATGAAAAATACAGAATAACGAGGATGGCTCTGCCCTTTGCATGGAAGTATTTTTTCTGATAGCCCCTTGATTTCCCCCTAATGCAAACCCAGTTCCACACAAGTTTTTTTTGTTGTTTTTTTTTTTTTTTTTCCTTCTCCCAGTGGGAATTAGATACTTTCGAAGACATTGGTAGGCATCTGTCTGAAGCTTTAATCTCATGGAAACTGCAGCTCTTAATTCACTCCTTAAAAGTAGCTTCAAGTTGTCAAGGTAAGTTTGCATGCCATATTCAAAGGACAATCTTTCATACCCTTGTTTTCACATGCAATAGTTTTGATACCCAAAATCACCTCCTTACATCTGCACTGCTTACAGAACTTAGTGCAGAAGCAATGGGTGTTGTTCATCACCTGCTCTAGAGAACGCTGCAGGGTAATTGGCTGTTGGTGGTTACTGGAAAGAGACTGCCTTTTGGAAGTATACCGCTGTTGTTGGTCAGATGCTTTAAAAGACAATTTCTAAGGAAATAGTCTTCCATTTAATGTTTTCCCATGCTTTTGTCTGGAGAAGTGTCTTTTTTTTTTTTTTTTAAATTGATTGCTAGCTTGCCCTGATCCTGGTCATATGTCAGGTACTTTTTCTAAGCTAACATTTACAGAAACTTGGATCCTTTTAGGTAGCTATTACATTCAAATAGGGTTTACTTTAAGATGTGTTAGTGAGTTTGTGGGGACTTAGGATTTAAACTCCTACAGTGTAGTCAGCTACATTGCATTTTAAGTATGCAAGCTTAAAATAGGGGACTGCTGTTTTTAGTATCTTCGTCTAGACTTTATGATTTAAAAATATAAATGTAGGAAAATATTTTGTTATTTTTATGACTAAATTCAAAGAAAATAGTACATTTGTAGTAATTTAGCTGTAATATTAATTTCTGAATGGGTTATGTGAGCTTTAGATAGAAGTGGCTTAGATAGAAGCAGCTTTGGGAAGCTGCTGTACCTACCTACTTGCACTACCTCATCAGGCGAATGATGGCAGAGCTAGACAACTGATATTTTTCAGAGTACAGTATCAGATATACAAGTTAAAGATCTTAAGTCACTATCACAGGGCCAGGAGACTGGTAGTTACGCGTGTACAAAACCCCTGCTGGTTACAGTTTATCTGGTGGCCCTTTAGAGATTTGTGATAAGATCTGTTCCTCATTTTTCTAGTGAATTTGAGGCAGAAAGAAAGTAGAAATCAGTGTCAGCAGTTCAGTTCAATTCAATAATCAAACTGAAAGTAACTCAACCGAAGTCTAAAAATGTCTTGCAAAACAAACATGGAAAATGACCTTTTAAAGATAAAGATCCTCAATAGTTTTGTTATCAGTTTGTGATCTCGGTGACATTGAATCTGATCTCCTGAAGATTCTCAGAGGATGTCCCTGGAGGACAGTGTCTGTTACCATATGCTTAGCTAGTTTATCAGTCCCCTCTTGTTCAGCATAGACAGCTGCCAAATTTATTTAAAAGCAAAAGCAGAAAAAATGGAGCTACTTGTGTAGTTTATTTTACCTTTGGGAAGGAAATTAGTTCTCTGAACTGAGTAAACATTGACTAAACCTATCAGATTTAACAAGACAAAACATAAAATCCTTTTTCACTAACTCAAGCCTTCATTTTTCTCATTCTTGTGAACTTACTCTGTTCTCTGGTTTTCTACTGGCCGTTGACTATAGGCAGTTGTTGACAGTCTGCCTTCAGTCACACCTAAAGTTACAAATATGACATGGGTAACTGCCTGTATCAGTATTCATGGCGAAATCTTTGTTTAAAAGACACGGTTAAAAAAAAAATCACAACCATTTTTCCTTTGAATAATTATTTTGAAATGCATTTTTAGCATTTAGTGTTTCTTTAATATGACTGATACCTAAAATTGGGATAGGATGTGTGCTGTCTCTTTTCATCTAACCTCTGGCAACAGTTCCACGTATGGCAAATATCCCTTTGCCTTGGTCTGTTTTAATTTTGTAACCTTGCTCTTTTCTGAGTAAACTAAAATGAAATGATAAAAGGGATACAGAAGGCTAAACTTGTGCTGGAAATCAGAACACCTAGTTATGGGATAGTTTGTTTGTTTGCTTTTCCCTAAAGTACACAGTGGGGACTGCATTTTAGTGCTTACATCTGAGATTTTTGCTGCTCTGAATAGCTCTAAAACTTAATTTAGTAGAGTTGAAAGAAATCTGACATGACCTGGTCAGCAAAAACTAACACACCCAGGAATCTTTCCTCAGACCAAAACCTCAGTAGGATGGTCAGCACCAAAAGATACTACAAAATTAAATCTGAGACAGTATTTCCCAAATCTATGAATGTCATCTTCTCTGGAGGAAAAGAAATGTCAAAGCTGAGAACAGACCAAAACAGACGAAGGGGTCTGTTCTGTGACTCTTGAAGTCACCATAATTCATATAACTGCAGTAAAATGAGATGATTACTCTGTAGGGGTTAATGATATGGCATATTTTATTGCCAGTCTGTAAATCTAAAATGCCTTTCAGTTGATCAAAAAAAAAGTTACCCTTTCTCAAATGATACAAAATGTTTAGGGTGATTTGCCTAAACTCTGGGATTTGTCTCCTTTCAGTTCCACTGTGAACTACCCACGGCATTGATCTGTTGCTCTGGTTTCTAATTGCCTTAGTACGTGAACCACAAGAGTGGGAATACAAGCTGCGTGGTGATCATAAACTCCTGTGGTGAAGCGAGTCACGGGAAAACTACTGCTTCACAACAGTACACGTACCTGCTCCCCTTTCCTTGGATTTTCCCCAGCTCTTTACTCGTGGCTTGTTCTACCCAGAACCTGGTTTGTTTCTGTGAAGTCTCCACAGAAAATGACTGCAGGGTTAAACTGAGCACTCTCCAAGGTTGGAAGGTATCAAAAGGAGAGTAACTTTATTTCAGTTTCACAAAGTACCTATTGTTCTCAGTTTCATTTTCTTCTACTGTGTTTACACAAACTGATGCAATAGGGTAAACTTCAGTGGTCTGTTAATATAGAAATGTTTTGGAAGTAGGTGCATAAAGCTAATGATTTCTACTAATGAAATAACATATAAATACATCCAAAATTTAAAGAGACTCACATTATAGCACTACGAAACACAATTCCATGAAGGGAAACTAATAATGTTATCGCATCCCAGATACCTCAGTATTGGCATGAGATGGCCAAAAACATTCAAATGATCAACTGGACACAAGTTGGCTGGCTAGGAGACTAAATAATGGAGGTATGAATCTCAGTGGGACAATATATGACAGGGAAACATCAAGGAAAGGCTTTAATGTTATTTAAGTGTACTACTGCTTGAGTATCTACAGAATGTAATGCCTTTACCGTGGTAACATGCAACACATGACAATCAGCTCTATTTTTCAAATAAATCTGATCTTCTCTGAAGTCAAAGAAAAAAATGAGAAAGAGCCCAACTTTCCATGAAGCTCTAAGAAATCTACGCAGTGTTAGCTGGGCTTCATTCAGGTTTGTAGTTACTCCTGCCACAAAGAGACCTGCTTTCAACTACAGGGAGAGTGATAAAATCATTAGGACTTTTCCTCCGTTCTTAAGTGTTTTTGTTTTAAATTTGTTTTGCAAAACAAATATTAGTAGGTTTCTGGGCTGACATATTATATAATATTTACACAATAAATATTTGTAAAAATTCCATTCGTGGCAGGCTGGATGAGTAACTGGAGATAAAATTAGCTTAAATCACAAATCAATACAAAGGATAACTGCCCACACTCCGGGAACCACATTCTGCTGATGATTTCATTTCAGTATTTGCCTCTGCATTCCACTCTGAATTGTTACAGGGCAGGGATCAATGTTCCCTTCTGTGTTTATGTAATATTTTGCACACTTTGGGTACTGCCAAAACCAAGCGATACATATTAATGCAGATACATGGTCAACCAAGGAGATCTGCTTAAACACTATTACTGCACCATATTCTTGTTAATGTTCAACTGCCAGTAAACAGAATTCTTGGCAAATGTTTACGCTATGAACTCTGGTCATGTGCTGCTGAATTATTCACTTGATGTACATCAGTGCACATTTACAACCTGAGAGGTGAAATATTTTTTTTTACCTGTAAACCTCAGGTTTATGGCTACTCACTCTCTTCATCCAGGTAGCCTTTTGGTTCAAACAGGACTAATGGAATTGAACCAACACGAGGGGATTCCTACTACCTGAATTACATAGCTGGGTGTGCAAGTGATGGATCTAACAAAAGTCTTCAGAAAGGGAGTGAGGTTCTGTTTACTGTCTAATGTATTTCTGGTTAAGAAGCTATCGATCTAGTGAGTACTGTGCTATTACCAATAGAACAAGAAACTGTAACTGAAATAGCCTCTTACTACTGACAGCTCAAGCTGTCAGGTTGTGTCACTCTGCTGCTAAAAAAAAATCACAAGTCTTCCATCTGTTTCTTTGTTCTTCTTTGTTCAGTTAGGTACAACACGGCAACTTGCATTACACTTGTTATAATGTGGAAGACTCAGGAGTTACTAAACAATGCTGACCTGAAGCCATCCATAGTCTAAGTCTTTTTGCAGCAAAATGAAAACTAACCTCAACTGCTGGGTGCCATCATTTGAAAAGGCAGCGAACAAATCACTGACTCTGTACTTCATGTGTTCTGACTGAAACAGAGGAACCTGCAGGCAGAATCTCAACCTTCAGCACTATCTTAAGAGAGAAATAGGGGCAAATCATAAGGAAAAGTCTAGTGCTTGGTCTAATTCTGCTAATGTACTAAATGAAACCCAAAATTAAGGGAATGGATCAGTGCTTCCTCATTTCTCCATCTACTGTAAAAACACAATCATTCACTGACTTCACTGGAAGTAAGATCTGTTCCTTGTACATCTTGCTCCAGCTTTAAGATGAGTTACTGTGTAAACTCCTGATTTCAATCTGAGTAGTAGCCATACTGTTCTTAAATGCATATCGAATTTTATCTGCATGGCTTCAATAATTTGGCACTACTCCTGCAAATACTGGGAGGCTGAGCTTATCTGAGGGTCCACGTTCATGCATGCAGAACTGCAGGCCTGTGACCTGCAGGTGTAAACTATAATATGTCAAATGTTTGCTAGTATTCTGTAGCTTAAGGCCCACCTAAGCAGGAAGAAAAACAGTAATCAGGACTGAATTTTGGCTTGGACTGTCTTCACAGGTTCTCCTGGGAGTGGGGTACAGGATTTGTGATAGAAAATCTGGAGTTTGGACAATTCTCATTTTCAGTTTTTAACTACTGCTGAGCACTTACTGCCTGTAATCTTTGGATGCAGGAGAGCTGGGAATGTCCTGGAAAACTATCCAAAAATACTACTGAATACTGCAGCTTAACCTGCCCTTCCACATAAAATGTTAGAATTGTGAAAAGCTAATTGAAAAATGTAAAGCCCTTTCACTCTTACAACTATAAAACTTGAAAACTATTCCTTAGATTAGGAGCAAACAGGCCACAAAACATATGCAACTCTTCAATAATCTACTTCATAGTTAAAAACAAAACAAACAAAAAACACAAACAGAAAGTCCAAAGAATGATTTAATATTTTCTGTACGAAAATGAATAGTATTGAAATTAGGATCCATTAGCCCTTTCTTAAATCTTCCAGATTTTCATGACATTGGATATGTTGAATGGCTAAAAACAGGTGTAGCCCTAGCAGCAAACCAATCCACCTGGTCCTTTTTGATCAAGATTTTCAAAAGGGACAAGTGACTTCAGTTGAAGTGAGTGCTTTCTGTAAATGAGCTCCTTCAAAGAATGAGGATTGCAGAAATCACTTGCACCTCTGAACACCTTTGCTTTAACAGCAGAATTAAAAATAAACCTGCTTCTGCTCCCTTTGCAAATCCAAGTTTGTAAGGTGCTTGAGAGTGTAAATCCAGGAAGGGCTGCTGCCACCAGTACTTGGACTGTATCTACAACATGCAGTACAGAGCTGAATCTGAAAGGCAACTGTATGTAGTTGGATTATGAGACCTATTTTACTTAACAATGTAGACTTCTGATCAACAGTTAAAGAAAATCCCTGCTGAGTTTTCAAGAAATAAAAAGCGATTAGTAACTTGTGACAGGGAGAGATGCAGATGAGTACAAAGGTGGGAGGTAATCACTCCAGATGCTAGACTCTTACAACCAAGAAGTTGCAGGGCGTGCAGTTTTCTGCTATTCTGAAGTCTTCTTTCCAAATACACACCCATGTTGTATTTAAAAAGACAGTTAAAATCCAACCAACCAACCAAATCCTACTTATGCCACTTAAGCAGCGAACACTTGGGTAACATAATACCAAATGTACGACCAGAATTAACCCTGTATATGGCCATTAGGCACATGGCAAGAGATCACAGCCACCAGACAGTTCAAGGTTTCTCCAGTTGCTGTTTCCAGTGGCACAGGTCTGTAATTTCAAATGAGACTGATAGACTTGAGAGCAAAAAAATCAATGATACCCACTTGGAAAAGGGAGCTATCCCTGTGCAAACAGTAACAAATGCAATACACCTACCCTCTCCTCAAGACTGTATTTAAAATAACTAAACTGGTCCAACCCTGCTTGACAGCAAGTGGTGATACCGCTCAGGGTGATTTTGCTATCTATTAAAATGATAACTTAAGAAAATGAAAACAAAACCTGAGAGAAGGCTGTCCCACCTGGGCCTGTTCCAGTACTAGCTAGCAATCCATATGCCCTTGGACAGGTGACTATTTGGTCCTGTAATCAAAATTCTGGGTATTTTGACAATAGAAATACCTTGATCAGACACTCTCTGTCGCTTCTAGGCCTTCTGGTCATTGGTGGAGTGCTGAGCATTTAAAGAGACGCTGTCAAGCGTGCCTATTCGTCTTTGCCAACAATCCCATGACAATTGCTTCAGAATTTGGGTATGTGGCAGTCTCTTTTCCAGCCATCTGTTTCCCTACCCCACATCTCTGGTTCAAAGTTTTTTCCTCCACTTTTGTAACTGGCATGAAGGTCACAGAAAAGAAAATGGTAGGGACAAATGTCGAGTAAGTTTTTCAGAGGGCTTGACTTTTAGGACTACCTCTCAAAAGTCCCCTTTTAAAAAAAGACACCAAAGCAAACAGGATTGTGTCTAACTAACTTCTACAAAATTGCTGGTTTCACAGAAGGAGGAAAATATGGCTACTGTGCTACTCAGCATTAGGGTGAAGCACCATCTAAATTCCAGTAAAGTTAGGGATTTCACCTAGCTCATATCAGCAAGCACACCCCCATCCTTCTACAACGTCCTTGCTGTCAAGCTTGATGCTATCAGTATTCTTCTCACTGAACATAGGGCCTCCATGCCTCATCATGAGCTCTGTGGCCATCTTCACAAAAGCCTCCTCCACGTTGCTGGAGTCTTTTGCAGAGGTCTCTATGGCACAGATGATATTATCGTAGCGTTCAGCCAGATTCTGAGCTTCTTCCAGCTGAACCTCTCGAAGGTCACTTAGGTCAGACTTATTTCCTGGAAGAAAAATAAAAACAGAGAAATTTATAATGACTATTTGTGCCAGGGCACAAGGTTCTCATATTTTCCAGAAACTTCCATTCTTGGAGATTCTCAAAATCCAACTGAAAAGGCCCTGACCAACCTGACGTCGGCCTTGCCTTGAGTAGGAGGTTGGACTAAATCATGTATTTCTGTGTGATTCATACGGAGAACAGAAAAAGTCAGAGAGCAACTGGAGAGCAACAGCTGTAGACTGTAAAGAAGGAAATATCAATGCTAAAACCATTCTGTGAGGAAAGACAAGGAAGACAATGTGAAAACAACAGCAGTCTTCTGGCTCCCAGGGAAGCCTAGAACACTGAAGGTGCACTAGCAGGTCTGCAAGCCCTGAGAACGGTGTCCCACTCAGAAACATTGGGGCTGGGAGGCAGAATTTCCAAGAGAACTGGTGAATTCTGGCTGCCCTGAAGTCCTTCCAAAGTCCATGAAGTCTGTGGGTGTCCCAGTCCCCTAAAACAAGTCTGCTCGATACCATGGAGCTTCCTGCCCCTAAAACCGTACGGTTCTGATCACCGGAACAGCTCCATAGCAGCTCTGCCTCAAAACCTGGAAATCCTGGGTACCCAGTCCTCCACAAAGTGAGCGCAAAGCGTGGCTTCCAAGCTGGCTTCTGACACAAAGCTGCCTAATTCTTAACAGAACTTCACTCAGGCAGATAGGCATCTTAAAAACATTTGTCTCATGCATCAGCATTTCCTGATTAAAAAATAAAAAACTTGGAAAATTTTCAATCAGCTCTATTACATACATCTTAACTGCAAGCAAAGCCAAAACATTTAACCACCTGAATGAGTACTGCAACTACGTACATCACACAGTACCCTGTAGTGCTGCTATTCAAATTTTCATTCCGAGACTTGAACTTACCAATCAGTAACTGTACTATGTTGGAGCCAGCATACTTTCTCACATCCTCGATCCAGCGAGGAATGGACAAGAAAGAGCCTCTCTTGCTGATATCATAGGCCAGGATTGCTCCGTTGGCGCTGCGGTAATAACTCTGCGTGATAGTGCGGAATCTCTCCTGGCCAGCTGTGTCCCAGATCTGCAACTAAATAAAACAAAGCATGCAATGAGATACTGGCAGTAAAGGTTCAGTATATATTATGTTTTCTTGAATCAAAAGCTAGGACTTGATTTAATAACCTTGTTATAATAACCTTATCCCCCTTATAGGTAATACATAGTGGCATTACGTTTTCTAGTCCTTTGATCATGATTTAAGGACAGCAATATACACTGGAGAACTCTTTTTTTGCTTTTGGCTGCTTAAATTTCTATTTGCATTGAGATGTTTTGGCGAGCTGGAGACAAGCTCTGATGCGTCCTTCTGTGGCAGATTATGAAGTTATCACTTTGGTGTGCCCAGCCCTACCCCTGTCACTTTCTCTAGCAGAGTTATGAAAACAAGACCAGAGCCAAAACACTCCAGTTCATCTTCTGGTGTGTTACTGAAACTACAGGTGGCCTTTCACTGGCACGCTGGCTGAGGTACTGAGGGAGTCTTGCCAGGTCTGCTAACAGAGGCAGTAACAACTGAAGTAGGCGGCGGTTGTATCACGTGAGAGCACCAAGGTTGTTTGATAAGGAAATAAGAGACAAATAAAACTATATATATAGAATACATAAAATCTATAAAAGAAGGCGTAAAAGAATGTATAAAAGAAATGCCAACATCTCTAGGTTCCAACAGTTGGTCAAACATTTAGACTCTGAAGTCTCCTGAGAGCTTTTAGGTGCAAGAACAGACTGCATCTGGGAAGGAAGAAGAAATGCCCAGCTCATGTACTTTTGCCTACATCTAGGTGCATAACAGCTCTGAGTTTAGTATCAGGTTTTAAGTTCCCAGTACCAGATGTTCCAGAGGAAGATGCCAAATACTTGAGAGTGGACAAACACAATATCCTGTTAGTAGGGAAAATTTCTTTTCAAATCCTGTTGTTTTGCAGGTTGTCTGATGTCCTGGAACATGATGGTTTATGTCGCAGGAGCTTCTAATCTAAAGTACCTGCAGATGTTCTCATTCTCCATACAAATCACTAATCCGTTCTGAATCCTTCACAGCTCTTGGCTTCAATATATCCTAATAATGAAGCCAAAGACTTTTATTTATAATTTTACATTTTCCGTCCTTCTATTTCACTTTGCTTTTTTTTCCCGTTCTTTTCCCAAATGATAAATGAGAGACCATTTGTGTGTACAATTCAGTACATTCTGCATCTCCTCTTAAATGAGACAGGACATAAGCACACATTCTTTGGTGTTTTAATCTTTCCATATTGTGGATGTGCTACTTATTTGTTTCCCTCTCTCCGAATCTCTTTCCTATAAAGATCTGACTACAACTTAACTTCAGTGATGTTTTATACCAAATAATACAGAACCATTTCCATTTATTTCTTCTGCACATTAGTATTTTGTTTCCATGATCTGACTCTGCTGCATGTTTGAGCAGAAACTTTCACTTTGAAAAAGGCTGTAGAGATCAAATCGCTTTCCTGTGCTAACTAGCATTTAGATCCCAAATAATGTATGTACAGCTTAAAACGAATCAGTCCAATGAAAAAAGTACTTCTTAACAGTTTTCTCAGCAAAGGAGAAGGGACTGTAATGGACTCAGAAAACAGGAAACAACAAAACAATGCTTATTAATGGAACAGTTAATTATCTAGAACAGACAATAATTACTGAGACTAGGAAGTTAATAGCAGGCTTTTGATGCTCTCTGCACTCAAGCCTCCCACTAGACCTTTGTGTCCTTTATGCAGTTTTAAATCTCAGCATTTGGTTAGGTCAAGTGCAAAATAAAGCTAATGGTGATTACTCAACTCCTGGGACAGGTCTGAGATACTGTGCATATAGAAGATTTATATAATTTTTAAATTTAAAAAATATTTAAGCTTACACTTTTCTCATGGAATAAAAAAAAAAAAAAAAAAAAGTTTTACCTGTAGAGTGGCTGAGCAAGCTAGTCTTGGGCCTTATGCTTTACACTGGATTTTGAAAATCTGTATGAATGTACCTTCCATAAAATCACAGAATCACTGAAGTTGGGACAGATTTTGGTAGGTGACAAAGCCAACTGCCTGCTCAAAGTGAGATAAAATCTTAATTTGTCCAGGAGGACTTGCTCCATCATTTTCCCAAAGACCAAAATGAATCTGACCAGCTTGTAGTTCCTAGCATTTCTCACTCTTTCTGAAGATAAGTATAGTATTTGTATTTCTCTGGTCCTCCCAAATCTCCACAGGCTGTCAACAGTGATAGAGCAACCTCACAGTGACACCAGGAAGTTCTTACAGCACTCCCAGACATTTTTTACTCAAGTTTTTATGTCTGTGCATTCACAGGACTCAAAGTACAAAGTTGCTGAAGCCCTGAGCATCCTGCTGGGAACAGCACAGACCACAGACAGGCTTCACCTTCTGAGGAGCGCAGGCAGCAGTCTTCCTTCCAGGCAACATCCTCCGGGTAGGCTCTTTCCCTTGGAAGTTTAAAGTTCATGCTCCCTAATTGTCCCTTCTCTTTAAATGTACGGACTCAGAATCATTTAGCTTTTTACAAGATCTTCAGTTTGTTGTGGTTTTGCTTTCAATGCTGAGACTACAGCATGTGTTAGACTTGTCGTGTGACATAACCCACAAGCAGATACTTTGCAAACATAGATACCAAATGACACACCTGTTTGCCACTGCGCCCGTCACTTCTGCTGGCAGGAGCCAGGTGAGTGATCACTTTTTCAGGCGAAGTCAGTCAAATAAGGACATGGTTTAATGACTTGCTTAAGCAAAACTAAGGCCACACTGTCATCAGAAACTTGCCGTCCCAGCTGCATGTCCTTATGTCCTTGTCCTCTCTCTGCACGGAAACTAGGAACTGTTAATTTGATTCACTGTACACCTTCATTCACAGATTTAACTGAAAAATATGGATTTTTCTTTTGTTTGAAGAGTTAGCACTAATTACACAGCCATTCGGTACTGAAAGCATGCAGGTTGCACCTTCCTGGGGCAACTACCCTTTACAGCAATGGCAAAACCATCTTGGACCAATCCCAAATACACCTGTTCAGCTTAACTTGTTGCTGCTGGGTGTGAACCAATCCAATAACCTTATCTCTCCACTAAACTATTTACAAGCATGTAACTCTTGACAAGAAACAGCAATTGCAAATTCTTTGAAAAAAATATAGGCTCGGTATTTCTCATTTAAAAGTTCCTTAGTAAAGTTAGATGTAAATACCAAAACAATGCCAAATAAACTGTACTAGCCACAGGTTGCAAAAATAGATATAAATGTGTCATATACTGCATATGTGATATGAGGTTCTTAAGTATTTATCTCTGCAATTTAAGTGCTTGAGCTTTATAAATAATGTGATGAAATGCCACATGTCACTTAGCAACTTTAACTGTTTTTAAGCAATTCCCGGTTTTGTAATCACCTTGGCAGCAGCTCTGCTGTAAGAAAGACAACGAGAAGTTGGATTGCTGGAGAATTGTGTTAAATTCAACTGAGGACCCTGAGAGAACATACCTATGAAATGAGAGAGTGGTAGGAGGCTTTTAGGGAGACCATCTCCAGTAACCAACAAAGACAGGATAGAGAACAGATAAGCACCCATTGTTCAGAAGGCCAGCACAGAATACCCTAAGTGAACTAAGACAAGAAGCTACCTTTCTTGTGCTAGTTGTTTCACTATTGAATGCCCATTTTACTACAGAAGCTGGTTATTTTGGTCTGCTTTTAGCTTTGAAATTTTTGGACACCAGAGCTCTTAGCACTGGCTGGTACTGAATAGCAAAGTGCTAAACCTGCTATTAACTCCTGTACGATTTTTCAGGACCGTACAATCACTGTGGAATCAAAGCTTTCCGTGAGTACATTAGACAAAGTCTTGAACGTTTTTTGTACTTGTTTTTTCTTCTTTTCTTGTTGGAAAGGAGCATGCACAGAATATATGTCATTCATTCCGTGCAGTGATGTGGGCTGGGGACTGACTGTCTGTGGAGCAGTTGTGCTGAAAAGGCCCTGGGGGCTTTGCAGACAGCAAGCTGAGCTGGCGCCAGCAGCGTGCCCAGGCAGCAAAGGAGGCTGGCAGCATCCTGAGCTGTATGGACAGCAGCAAAGCCAGTAGATCAAGAAAGGTGATTATTCCTTTACTCAGCACATACTAGATCTCAACTAAAATATGGTGTCCAGTTTTGGATCCCCAGCACAGGAAACACATTAAAGAACTAGAGCAAGTTGAGTGGAAGGCTTTCAAGATAGTCAGATAACGGGACTACATACTCTGTGAGAAGAGGTTGAGGGAACCAGGCTTATTTGGCATGTGAATGGGACTGAGGTCACCTATTAGCTGCTGTCCAGTACCGATGGGGAGGCCATCAAGAAGCCTGAGCGAGGCTCTTCACAGTGGCACACGGTGGAAGGATGAGAGACAGCAGACAAAGATTGAACCAGGAAATATTTCAACTTGATGTGAAGAACAGATTTTTCACCATGAGGACAGTGGAGCACGTTGTCCAGAGGTTTTGCAGTCTCCATCCCTGGAGGTTTTCAAGGCCAGACTGGATAATGCCCTAAGCAACCTGGTCTGTTCTCCCAGCTGACTGGTTCAAGTAGGAGGTTGGATGGAGACCTGAAGTCCTTTCAACCTGAAATACTCTGTGATTCTATGGCTTTATATTTAAAAATATGTATATATCCGCATGAAAAGTAAGTAATTGCAGGCTATCATGTTTGAGAAAGCAAGTTCAAAGAGGCGTGCTTCAAAGAGGGTTGGCACTGTCAGCTCTCATGATCTGAGAGCACATGCATAGGATCCCTGTACAGCTGCTGAGAAAACGCTAGGCAAAAATATATGTAAGCATTCCATATATTTGTATGTGTCCATGCTTGTTGGATGGCCATGAATGGTAAAAGAAGCCAAATATTTTGTGGGCACTTTGGATTTTGTGTGCATACACCAATAGTTTTCAGATTTTATAGTATCTGAACAGTTTATTTCATCCATCAGTGTGCGCAGGTCTCATAACTCTGAACCAAGTC